GCCCTTGTAGTCTCTTCCAACTCTATGATTCTATGATTCTATGATATATATATTGCCTGTAAAAATATTTTGTTTTAAAAATTATTATTACAGATGCATGCATGAGAATACATGATAAAATCTAAATATATGAGGGCATTTGAGTCTTACTTCTCAAAATTGTGAAGTAAAGATACATTTACAACAGATAAAAAGCTACATTTTCCTTTGAAACTCCAGCCATGAGCTCTTCCATATAACAAGAGCCAGCAGTCCTGTGAGTTATGGCACAAATAGGGCACAATATTGGTTTGCTCCTTCCAGACTATCTTCAATGAAGAAGTATGGATACGCCATGACAGCCAGGAATGTTAATAAGAAACCCGGTGCTGGTCCTAGTGTTTTTGAACATAACAGTCCTCATGTAACTTACATGGAGTATGGAAAACAAGGAACAGAAGAGAGTCAGCAGTTTTATAAAGCAATGTAAAAATGCTGAGTCCCTTATTTCAGTACATAAAATAATACAATGTGCACATTATATTTCTTCAAAATGATGTGCAGGCCTTACAAATGTGAAAATTCATTTTTGACCTCTATGAAGAGGCCTTTTTGTAAAAAACAAACAAAAACAAAACAAAATAAAAACAAAACAGGAAGTGATTTCCAGGCTACTTCCTGATGCAAAAAAAAAAAAAAAAAGGAAAAAAGGAAAGGAAAAAAAGAACACGCCGAGGCCTAAAATGTCCCAAAAGACAAACATGGTGAAAATGCCCCGTGTCCCCCAGAGGGTATTCGGGAGCAAAAAACAACACAGAAACCTTTTTTTTAATTTTTTCTTTGGGGAGACACAAAAATGGCACTGTTTTCCAAGCAAAAAATTAACTGTATGAAATCTGGCATGTGGCACCACCAGAGAGAGTTTCATCACATGAATTTTCTTTTGTTTAAAGTATTTTTCACCACTTTACTAAGTGAAACATCCCCCAACATTATTCCAAGAGATCTTACAACACCTTTGAGACTGAGAAAAATAACTCTGAGACAGAGAGAAATATTATCAGATGCATTTAGCCACCGAAATCGCTGCCTGGATGCAACCCTGGTCCATCGCCACTCAGAAAGGCACTTCGGTGGCCATTTTTTCAAGCCAGAAAACTCCCAGCTTCCAAAAGAGATGCGAGGAGCACCTCTTTGAGCAGTGATGACCTGGGCTGCACCCATGTGGCAATTTTGGCAGCTAAATGCATCTGATAATAATCAGGATGCCATCTGCTTCTAATTTTAAGCTGGCTCATGTAAACCAGTTTATATCCTTATGTGATAATTTCCTTAGATACAAGCAGATGATTGTTCAAGGAAACTTTAAAGCATTCCAATGCCACAATGAAAACTATACTGTGGAAAGGAATAGTGTATCTGGTCACACACATTTCCTGCACATTTATTGATTTCTATGTCCTTGATTAACATACTCATGATGAAGGCAGCTGAATATGTGACCTTCATAGAAAAGTATTAAGCCAGAAGGAAATAACAGTAAACTACTCCGTCTTGTGTTATATCTGTGATTACTCATTTACACATGTAAGGCTTTATTGTTGTAGTCTTCAAGTGAAAAATGTACAGTTACAGCCTGATCCTTATGTTCCCAGCATAAATATGTCTACCTAGGCACCTAAATGCAGGAATAAATCCTTCTCCTGTGATAGGTGTTAGTTGCAACAACAACATATTAATCAGGCATTTTATTTTTGACCTATCAGAGGAAGAAGAGGAAGAGGAAGAAGATGACAATATGTCAACAGTAATGCGACTCAGAACAAAGATGCCATGGAAAACCTGCTGGCTATACGTCACTTCAGGAGGTTTTCTCTTACTCTCCATGATGGTCTTCTCTAAACTACTGAAGCACTCAGTTATGGTTGCTATTGATTATTGGCTGGCACAGTGGACATCATCGGTGAATAAAAATGAGACCTTGTGCTCCATTGATGGACCTGAGAGCCGGGTAAACCTACAGAAGCAAATAAGCAACAATATGTGCAAGTATTACTGGCTAGGAGATTCTGAGAGCTGTAGTCTTAAAAAGTAGCGTTTTCAGGCTCTGCAGGAAAATGAATCCAAGTGTCTCCAGATCTTCTACAGCACACACAATTTATCTTATGTCCAAAGGAGGAAAGAGAACTGATATACCCATGGGACTATATTTTGTCTTCCATGTCAGAGACAGTATGGCTTTGTATATAAGTTGCTGAGAAACATATTAGAGAGGATGCAGTTGGTCTCATGCTCTGCTAGCAAGCTTCCCATAGGCAAATGGTTGGCCCCTGTGTGAACAGAATGATAGATTAGATAAGTCTATGTTGTAATTCACTGATGACCTCAAGTGTTGTGTTTCACTCTATTTTAAAAAATACATGTCAATGAAGGAAAGACATTCATTTATATTGGAGATGAACTTGTAGAGTGGAGGGGTCACTGCTGAACTACTGTGTTAACCATGCTTTGTCCCCTTGATCATCCCTACTGTTCAACAATATTTTTTTCCAATCTAATTTCAGCAGTGAAATTCAACTTTGTATCTTAGCAGTATGCCTGTAGGCACACACACACAGAGGGAGATCACTAAACTCCATTTTTCCCAAAGTGCTTTAAAAACATCCAATTAATCTGAATAGGAAGTGCATAGAGTACTAAAACAGTAACCTTTTGGAATGATGACCCTCCAGCTGCTTTGCAGTGTACTTATAAACATGTCGGGGAGGGGGTATTTCATAATCAAAGAAAAATTATATTACTTTCCAGGACTGGAAATATCTCTCTTGTTTTAAACAGACTTGCAATGTGGCTGTGTTCAGCATCCTTAGTGGTGCAGGAATTGTCCTCTGCCTTGTCACATCTTTGACAGTTGAATGGATGGGCCTCACAGCAGCCAAAAACCTTCATCATGATCTTCTCAACAAGATCATCCTTGGACCGATCAGGTATAGCAACCATCACTACATTAAAGTGCCTTCACTGTCTCTTGTGAACCTAGGATTGCCGGATCTACTGAGGTTCAGAACATGCAATGCAGCAGCTTGTATTATGTCACAGCAGCTTGGTGTTGGAACCTAAAGTGATAAGATATTAGGTAGATGATGATCATATCAACCGACAGATGCTGGGAGTGGCAGCAAACTTTTGGAGAAGAGAACTGTGTGCCCCCACATCTTGCCCTGTGCTCCCTAAGGTAGCCTGCACTGTAATTTTCATCTGCAGTGAAGAACAGTGTTGAGGAATAATCTATTTGTCAGTCCATTTACCTTCTGTACATGGAATGGAATGAGGCAACATCTTGTTCTTTGCCTGAGGCAGCAAAAATTCTTGAACAAGCCTGGTTGTGTTTAATGGGGGTATGGGGAAAAGTGAACGGAGAAGCTTCCAAGGCAGTCAGAAAGTCGTCAGACTCCTTGACCATGTTCCTTTTCATAATATCTTTGGAGAACATGAAGAGAAGGCTAAACCTCTGAGATTCCATGCCAGGTCTTGAGATCTGGCTATCCA